AATCGGTGAAGAACACTATCTGTTCTTGACTTTCGACGAACAATTTAACACTATCAAGATCCGTTATTCGAAATTGACTTACAAAATGATGATGTAAAATGGAGCCCATTGCAATATTGTCTATATATATAGTAAAAATATATTTTAATGATAAATTGATGGAGACCTAAATTTAGATGCATTCAATCTAGCCCTTGTTTGAGCCCTATTTTGAAAGAAACTAGTGGAGGCACGTGCGATGCACGTGTATGAGTTATTCTCCTTGTGCATATTAGCGTTGGGACTGCATATGTATTCTACAATAAATAGATGGAAGTAAAGTGATGAATGACATGTAAGTGAAAAAGAAATTCCTGTTACAAAATGAAAAAGAAAGCATTTTGGATATTATAAGTACTCAAAACTGAAATGTTTGTAAATAGAGGATAGGCGAAATATGAAACTGCTGGTAGAAAGAAAGAAACTAACAGAGTAAACATACTTCAATAGAACACACAATATACTTGTTACACGATGAGTATTTTTATCAATATATAATGGATGGCCTAGTAGATAAAGGCTAAACTCGAGTGCAAGAAAATTTGTTGGTATCTGTAGTGTACCTCCCCGACCAGTTTTTTCATCATCTTCAAAGACACTGACAACTGTCCATAGATCCGACGAATTCCAGGAAGTCAACAACCTTATCCTTGTCATTCAAAAAAATCATAAGGTGAGTAGCAAAGAAAATATGAGTATGAGGACTGTATGTCACCTGTAATTTGGGGCAAAGGTGGACAATCATCAGGCAAAACAATTGACGAGGAGAACACACTCATATAGGTTGTGTTTGTAGAGGAGAGCAGAGATTGAAAAATAAATAAAACACTCTAAACCACATGAGTCAAAAATTTATTTGCCACTTGTGAGAATGCAAAACAAGAAAAATAAAGATAAACTTGGGACCTGTGCCCTGCATATCGAAAGAAAAGACCCTCCAGCTTGCCAATCTAGGCGAAGAATAAAGATTTCAAGCACGATCAAAAGAGTCGATCACTTGATAAACAATGAAAAAACTTGCACAATTCTTTTTTACAAAACAATCTTGTCAGAAGCCTCAAAACTCCATGCTATATCATAAATTTTGTACAGAGGTGAGAAAGAATAAAGCAAGCAGCTATGAATAGACTTTGACTCCACACCTTTCCATAATCCCATATATTCAGAATATCGTTCTCTGCAGCACTACGAAAGACAGATGACCTGTCTGCCAACCACTGGAATAGAAATATATCACTGTTAAATTGCTAGTTAAAACATGCAATAACAACACTCTCCTACTTAAAAACAAGTCAGGGAACCAAAAGAGGAACCGGTCATTTGCTTGATATCAGGGAACAATGAGCTTCTACATTCACCACATAGTTGCTTCATTTTTGTACACGAGGGAATAAAGAGAATAATTCACAAGGATACTCCTCATAAGAATTTGTCTTAAGCTACAGTCTAGTTTTTTTTTTTTTTTCCAAATACAATTAGTAACTCATAGATTTAATAGTAAATAAGGTAAAGAACTGAGATTTTACAGTCAAGTTCTGGAAGAAATAATAAAATCTTAAAACACATTTGTGCTACAAGTCATATACAAGTTAAGCTTAAAGAAGTATCCAAACATTAAACATTATAAGCGGGACCCTCGATTATATTTCAAAGAATAAATCAGAGAATATGAATCTGTACGTTTAATTATTTTCTGTAATCAAATAAAACAATAATTGTTAAGACGAACAAAAGTAATATCTTGGTATAAAATCAGTTTGCCAAAATCTTAAACGTCAGCGAAAATTTTGATCAATAAATAGGTCCGTGCTCACTTAAAAAGTCTGTCAACATAGTAACATAGACAGAATGCGAAATCAATATAGAGTTCCACCTATCATAAGGAATTTCACGTCGCTTCAGTATTCTTAATTTAAACAAACCAAAAATCACTTTAGTTTTAGTTCAGATGTCTATATGCTTCAGCCCTCCTCCAACCTAGCTGTAATTTCCTAGTACTTGGCCAAACTGACCAGCCCAGACCCATTGTCCTTCAAATCCATTCATGCCATTAATTATCTATCATAAAGTCCGGATAAANCCTAGCTGTAATTTCCTAGTACTTGGCCAAACTGACCAGCCCAGACCCATAGTCCTTCAAATCCATTCATGCCATTAATAATCTATCATAAAGTCCGGATAAACCTACCGTAGGGAATGATGAGAAGTGGTCTGGAACAGGAAATATCTTTCCCAAGTAGGAGCAAGCTGATCAAAGGAAATTTTTTGGTAGTCTTTTGAAAACCTAGTCTATAGTTAACTGCAGCAGAGTGTAACAAATTCATGCTGGCAAAGGTTTGGATGATTCAAAGTAATAACAAGCTCTTCGGCAAATTGTCATACTTAGGGTAGCCAAATATACCCAAGATTCGAAGTAATAACAAGCTGTTCAGAAAATTGTCATGCACAGGGTTGCCAAATATATCCAGGGCAATACAATGTTAAGAGTAATTGTCGCAGAGCTTCAAGAAGAATATAAGCACTGTCAGTCATCGACTTACTCCATTAGACAAACATCAAGGATTGAGCTGAGCTTCCTCCCAAAGCTTGGCACTGGTCGAGATTGTACATTTTCTTTCAGTTGACGTCTTTCCTACATAAATGTAATATCAAATTAGATATATCATATCAAAAACTTTACCATTTATGTACTTATTTTAGGAAAAGTAGTAGGATTTTATTTTATGGATTTTCTAGTAGCTCATGTATTTCTTGAATTGTTTCATACTATATTAGATTAATTAAAACGTTACATAAAGGGAGCTTATGCACTTGATTTCACATACTTGATTAATGAGTACAGACATATTTCCTCCTTGCTTCTCTTCTCTCTTCTATCTCATTTGTTTGATTTTTCTTACCTTTCATTTTCCCCTTCTTCTATTTCTTCTCGCCTTTCTCTCTTCTCTCCTCTCTCATTTAGTGTGATATGGTGATAATTTTGACTATAACAACTACCGTACTTAAGCACTGAAAGTTACCTTGAGATTATTCTCCGACAAAATAGCAGTGTCACTTGGAGGGAAGTCATTAACATTGCTTCATAGATTAGCAATTCTCTTTTAATATCAGAAGAAAGGAAGTAGTTAACAAAGGCAAGTCCAATAAAAAAATAACGTAAAAATAAATAATTGAACTTCAAACATTACCTGAATCCGATATGTTCCTTGTTAGCAAATAGTTTCCCAGTTTTAGGACCTGGAAAATAACCTACACTCGGATTTGAATTAAACCTTAAAATCAATAGCTGGTTAAACATCTAGAAACAAAGTGTTGTCAAATAATAGTAAGAATAAATATGGATTATTTGCAAAGGGGACCAGCTAAAGTTGCAATGGAATGAAAGAGAACAGATAATATTCATCCTAACATGGGATGTGTAAGCAAGGAACTAAGTGTCGAGATGACATGAACATAAATAAAAAATCAGTACATAGAAGATAAATATAGAAAACCGTGAGATGGAATTACTTATCTTCTGTGTATAACTTAGTGTAAGTATAAGAATATGAAAGGATCAATAACAATTACACATTATTTCCATTTTATATCCAATTAATTAGTCACAGAATAAGACAGCTTGGAAATAAAAGGATGTTATAGGCATAAGAATGTTATATTTACAAACACTATGAGGCCTATGCTTTCTATCATCATCTCCTCTTTGCTTCTCCTTTTCCTATTAGTCAAATAAGAATACCAAACTTTCCTACTCTCCTTCTGCTCCAGCTATTCTTTTTAATCGATAATGTAAAGAGTGTGTCATAGGCGACTTGAAACTTTGTCTGACAACTAATATTTCAATAGTGATATTTTACTCTTTCTTCCATATGAAACCTATATGATATGTTATTTCGTTAAATCTTAAATCCTAGATGTCCAGAGACTCTAGACAGCTGCTAAGCTAGAATGAGCAGGTAAGAAGAATAACTAAATAAGCCCGTTATACTTTGGTGTATGACACTTTCTACAAAATCAAGCGCCGTAGAGCTGTTTCAGAACTTGAAAGACTTCCTAAAACTAATTTCTTTAGCTTTTCAATGTGGTAAATTTGCATTTTATCTACTTGATTATGCCCTCTTGTCCCCCATAGGAGGAGAACACAAACAGTAGAAGGTCTTGCTTTTGAATTGGAGATTTATTCAAATTGGGGAGCTCCAACTTTCGGTGAAGGTGGAGATCATTGTTAACCTCTTAAGATATGCAAGATGCTCCCCTAATGTTACTATACCAAGAATGTTACACGAAACATCAGTTTCCAAATAATCACTTTTTCCCCATGGAAGGAAAGATTTAACCTTCCTAAGTAAGCATATTTGTTGCCTTCTCATATGTGACATATTTGTTGCCTTCTCATATGTGATTCATTCATGCAAGTCTGTTTAATATATGATAATCAAATCATAGAAGATAAGCGAATTAGAAGGAAGATTCAAAAAAATAAAATTTCAAATCAGAAAGGATCATGAAAAATAGGATTTTAGCAAATCATAAAATGAAACCATTTGGCTCGAGATAAGATTATATACTTACAGAATTACGACGTGTATTTGAACACTAAAAGCCAAACCAGCAACATGGATTTTCGACTTCAACTTCTTCATTTTAATCTGATAAAGCTCCAGATGCATCGCTCTTCACTCTCTTTAAATCTCAGCCAAGTTACAGCTATGTACTCATACATATATATATATCAACAAAAAGCAAAATACATTTAAACTTAAAAACAAAGCTAAGTTTTCATTTTGAACTTCTTTTGATCTGATAGAATAGAAGAAGCTCATACCTTCATCATTGAGAGACCGGTGTTCTACACGCCCCAAATCGTTAGTAAGAAGCACGTAAATTAGAAAGTAATACTTCAGTTCTTGTACATCATTAGTAATAATAATTTTATGTCAGGACTTTCATCTTTCAAAAAGGCATAGTCCATCTAAATAATAAATAATACTAATCTCCAGTCAATAATAAGTGTGTATAGAACACACTAATCAAGAATCAACACAAACAAATACAAAAACCAATATCCAACTAAAAAAATGTGAAAGGAAGTGTCTTCAAAATCTGGTAATATAATTAATAAAAAACCGGAACTCAATATAGCAACAAAACTAATGATTCATGAGAGTACAAACAAAATTGGCCCCTGTTTGGGGCACTGGGCATTCTTGGAAGCATTTTAAATTATCACATAAAAAGAAAGGCACACCAGTAAAATTAACAAGAAATTAAAATTGTTACACATTATCGTGAAAATTTATGGAACAAAAATATTTATTGTTTTGGGCTACGGGTTTCAAGTACCTTTTCTTTATTCTTTATTTTCATATAGAACAAAGGTAACAATCAGTAAAAACTAAACCAAACAATGAAAAACTTACAGCAAAACGTTCAATTTGAACCCTAAATCAAGAACTGGAGAAGGAGAGCCGGAAGGCACGAGATTTGGGGAAAGAATTTGGAAGAATTGAATAGGAATCAAGAGAGTACAGGAAAATAGGGTTCTAAATGTGAGAATCAAAATGAGTAAATGAGTTTCTCTTTTCTTTGTATAACGAAATAAATATGTATACCCACCACCAGATGCGTCTGGCCAGATTTCGTTCCCTCGACTTCGACTATCGAAATGGCTACCAGAATGAACTTTCATCGCCGCCGAAGGAATCTACACCGGTTAGTTCATTTACTATTAACAGGAACCACGACATTACAGACAAGGAGGAAGGAAATGACAGTAATTGTTGGGGGAGTGAATAAGAGTAATCTACTTTAACAGGAATCACTACAGAACATACTCAATCCAAAAAAAAAAAAAGAGGAAACAAATTTACCAGAAACGAGGAGTCCTCAGTGACACGGGAGTAATGGCTTCGCAGCTTCAACGACCCACGGATTGTCCTCCAAAAACGCAGTCCAGGGAGAACACAAGCTGCAAATAAATAAAATCTTTTAAAACCCATACTGAAATCAAACGAAATAGCTGTAGATCTGTAAATAAGTACGGGATCTGGGAAGCAGGTGGCGGAGTTACACGGAACCACGATCTGGGATCGAAAACCCTAATAGAGTCGGAACTGAACAAAGAAAATACCTCTACACGGCACAGGTTCTTCTACCGGGTTCTTCTAGCTGTAGATCTATAAATAAGCACAAGATCTGGGAAGCTGGTGGTGGAGATACAAGAAACCACGATCTGGGATTGAAAATGTTAGAAGCAAAACTGAACGGAATCGATAGAGGAAGCAGACAGCTCGTGTTGATAGGGCTTCTTCGTTTTCGCGACTGGGAATCGATAGAGGAAGCGGACAGCTCGTGTTGATAGGGTTTTTTCGTTTTCGCG